GGGCACCCAATAATTGGAGTTAGAGTTTTTCAAGGGCTCTGCTAGCAATGTTTCTAGAATCTGATATCCTCTGAAGACCACAATGTGGTTCACCTCTCAAATATCTGTGAGAATATGTGAACAGGGGAGCCCACATGAATATTATCCACAGAAAACATGAAAAGTTAATAATCTAATAGTTTTATTAAAATTGTTTTTTTAAGTGCTAACTCTACTTAATGGCTAGTAGCAAGATTAATAAGTAATGCTATACACAAAGACTGCTAAGGATAGGGCTGTAAGAGGAATCACATAGCAAAAGCAAATACCTTTATAACCTGTTTGTCAAAATCCTACTCTGCCTTTCAGGCAAAGTTCAAATTGTACTTCCTCCAAGGTACAAGAATTCTTACTTAGTCTCTTCAGCTGGTTCTAATCTTTCTCATTGGTGCTCCCAAAAGATCTCATTATCTTTATTAGGGTACTTAATATACATTCATCAATGCATTTGACAAACATTTGCCTATGCAACATCGTATAGAGGATGGCAAAGATGAGTAAGACAGTGCTCTCAAGAGGCTCAAAGTTGAGTGAGTTGTCTTGTGCCATAATTGTTTATTATCTGTCTCCCTCCACTTGAGGGCAGAGACTTGGTTTTGCTCATTCCTGTGTTCCCAATATTTAGAAGAGTGCCTGGCACATGGTGGATGCTCAATAAATACTGAATATGAAATTATATAGTTCTTTGCATACATCTATTTTTTACTAAACTATTACAGATAGGTGATGGTTTTATCTTTTATCTTTCTCACAGCACCTGGCTTTGTGTCTTGAACATAGCAATGTCTGCCACTGAACTGTAATTTTCAATTCATCCTTGAGTGGATTTGCTAAATTATTAAAGTTTGCAGTTTCTGCACTCTTTTTTTTTGCGGTACGCAGGCCTCTCACTGCCGTGGCCTCTCCCGTTGCGGAGCACAGGCTCCGGATGCGCAGGCTCAGCGGCCATGGCTCACGGGCCCAGCCGCTCCACGGCATGTGGGATCTTCCCAGACCGGGGCACGAACCCATGTCCCCTGCATCGGCAGGCGGACTCCCAACCACTGTGCCACCAGGGAAGCCCAGTTTCTGCACTCTTAACCATAGAGAACGACCACTGTGAATTATACTTATGAAGTCTCAGAAAACTCTGTCTTTCTTGTAATGAGGAGAAGAAGGTAATTTGGAGGATGGTAAGTAAAAGAAAAGTTAAAGTTGAGTCAGATTTGACCTAGAAAAAAAAGTCACAGAAAAAAAAGATACTGAGGGGAATGGGGACAATCTGATAGAGGATAGGGACTAAACTTTAAAACAAAGCAAAAACAAAACATGTTTCTCATAAAGCAAAAAAAGAAAGAAAGAGAAGAAAAATCTGTCTTTGTTAAGTAAGAAACATGGCAGTTACCCAGAGCATGAATAGAGTAATTTTTCCAGGCATGGCAGGTTCCCCAATTCTTCCAGCTATTACTCAGGAACAAAACTAGAGAGGCTGATGGAGCAGGCCTTTCCAGAGCAGTGACTCGCAAGCCTAACTGCACATTAGAATCACCTGGGGAGACTTTTAAGAACTATTGATGCCTGGACTCACCCACTGAGCTTCTGATGTAGTTACTTTGAAGAGGGTCCCAGCACCACTTTTGTGAAAAATTCACCAAGCGAGCCTAGTGGGAGACCAGGTCTAAAGCACCGCTTTACAGCAAGAGTATGGTTAGGAGAAACAGAATTTTGCAAGAGAAGGGACAAGATCTGTAATAGGAAGCCCTGGATTTTATTAGTCCAGACTCTGGGTGGATCATTAATTTCTCTTTCTCTCTGTCTCTATATTTTCAAAGGTGAAATGAGATCTAACAAAGCTGTTAGAAACACAAAAAAGAAAAATGGCTGTGAAGCACTGCACAGTCATAAAGTAATACACAAATATTTATTTAATGCCACCACTAGGACCTTCAATCTTTTAGGTCTGGTTTCATATTTTGTACAGAACCCCACACAGAAAATGATTAACATGTGCCAAATGAAAACACATTTTCATGTTAACAAATCCAAAGTGGAACAAAAGAAGCAATTAGGAAGCAGACAGTGATCCCCCTATAATGGGAAATGGTCCCAGAGAGATGGGCTGGTAACCTTAGGAGCAAAGGCCCGTCATTAACTCTCATTTTAGTTAACTGCTATATTCACAAACTATTTAATCAACACGAGAGTACAATCAATCTCAATCTCCCTGCTAAGGCAGGCTAGAAATTCTGGGCCAGAAATAATTTAGCACCCCAGATTTTCATCATCTGACAAAATCTGTCCTTTCATTTCAGGGTTCTTTTGCAAGGTCTTCAGGTCTTAAATTAACTCCTGCCAAAGCTAAAATACTTTATTCCTTTAAGGGAGATGTCTCCAACACCCAATTTATTGCTTTTAAATATAAATTCACAACAAAACATGAATTAGCCTATCATGATAGATAATTATTTTAAGGTCAAATCAATGCCTGGACTAAACTTTAAAAATAGGTCTGGTCAAAAGAAAGGAGTGTTCCCTATAAAATCCACCTGTATTTGCAATTAATTTTCTGAATTACAATTTCCAACAGATATGAGCTGGGTACTAGGTAGTGTAGGAGTTCTCTCTGGGAGAAAAGCATTGTCCTCTGTCACTTTCTGTTAATGACTCTTCCTCCATAGCCAAGGGAACACCTTGGGCTGGATTGAACTCAGAGAAGCTGACACTTTTTCTCAGAATCCAGCCTGTTCTCAGTTGCAGTCCACAGCCTGTTCAGAGGTCCGTTTAGCTTTTCAACATCCAAGACTAGGAGGAAAAAGTCTAGCTGATAAGAATTGTTTTCCACCAACTTGGGGCGATGCTATTCATGCAAGATTTCATGCACGAAGACTAATAAATAAGAAAACTGAGACAAGCACTAGCAATCCTACTTCTTATTTTCAGTTACCGAGTCTTTAAAGCTTAGAGTCTGCATCTAGGATAAGGCTCTTCAATTCATGAGGCCAGGAATGTTAAGTGATTTGTCTAATGTCCACAGAAATCTCTGAGGCAGGACTTGAACTCATCTTCTAGCTCCATGTCTACCACACCTTGGCAATCCCTCATGGAACATGTTTAGTGCCAGTTCAGTTTCCCAGTCATGGCCAAATGGTAACTGTTGTCAGGTGGAAAGGGTATTGAATTGAGAATGAGATCTGGGTTCTAGCCCTTGCATTGCTCTGTGTGTGTGTGTGTGTGATCTTTAAGAGATCTGGCCTCTTTACTAGTTTCTGGTTCAGTTTGTTCATCCCACCCCCTGGAAAACCCCACATGCTGACTCAATTCTACCATCTGCCTCTTCCTGTACGAGGTACAGCTCTGAAGGGTGTCACAGAGCAGAGTTGACAAGTGTCATCACAAATCCATGGTCTCTAATCTCAATGCTGCTCAAAAAAGGCCCAATCATCTCCTGAAATCTCTAATAATCTTATTCTCAATCTTTTTGCTTCTACGCTTGCTCCTTTCCAACTGCTCTTCATAAAGCAACTAGAGTCATCTCTTTAAACATACACACAACCATGCCATTTCACTGATCACAACCCTTTAATAGCTTCTCTTTGCACTATGAATAGAATCCCAACTTGTTCCACACCTACAAGGGCCTGCATGTTCTTGCCCCCCATCTCCCTCTCAGACCTCACCTTAGACCATTATCCTCTTTGTTAGTATGCTCCAACCACAATAGTCCCCTTTTAGTTCCTCATACATGCCAGATTCATCTTTCCTCCTTGTTATGGACTGAATGTTTGTGTCCCCCCCACCCCCCAAACTCACACACTGAAGCCTTAACCCCCACTGTGGCTATATTAGGAGATGGGGTCTCTAAGAAAATAATTAAGGTTAAATGAGGTCACAAGGCTGGGGCCCTGATCCTATAGGATTAGTGTCCTTATAAGAAGACACATTAGAGAGCATGCTTTCTCTCTCTGCACAAACACTAAGATCATGTGAGGACATAGCAAGAAGGTGGCTGTCTATAGGACAGGAAGAGAGCCCTCATTAGAAACCCAGTTTGCTGGCACATTGATCATGGACTTCTAGCCTCCAGAACTGTGAGAAAAGAAATTCCTGTTGTTTAAGCCACCCAGTCTGTAGTATTTTGTTATAGCAACCTAAGCAGAGTAATACACTGCCTCAGAGTTTTAAACATATACTATTTCTTCTTTCTAGAGCTTCCTCTCCATTCTTCCTCTTTCCTTCTTTTCTACTTCCTTACTTGTTGTTCTAATATGCCTTCCAATTGGACCACTGTAATAAAACAGCTCTCCCAAAGGTCACCATTTTACCAAAACCAATGGGTATTTATCATCTCATTTTATTGGAGCCTTTCGGTTCCATATGACACTGTAGACCCCTTAGTTCATGAACACTCTTCTTCCTTGGCTTTGATTTCACTACTTCCTCTAGGTATTTCTCTAACCATTTCCTCAAGATTTCATTCTGGAGCTCCTTAAATGTTTCTGTTCTACTTGATCTTGCCCTTGGCTCATAGTTCTTTTCTGTTTAATATCCTCCTTGGGCAACTTCATCCATTCTTGTGGTTTTAATTCCAATAGTGTGTTGATGATTCCCAAATCTATCTCAGTCGTCTAAAGTAGATTTGAATATCCAGTTGGCTGCTAACCATCTCTGCTTGGATAGTCCACAGGCATCTTAAACTCAAGATATCTACAAGTGAACACTTTATCTCCCTCTGTAAACCAGCCTGTCTCTTTAAATTCGCAATCTCAGTTCATGGTGCCACCCGTGGTCTGAACAAAAAACATGGGGTCATTTGGGGCTCTCCCCTCTCCCTCACTCACTGCTCTTTTTTTTTTTTTTCAGGTACCAGAGATAAATTGAAATCAGTCATAATTAGTCATTATTTCACTCTCATTATATTAGTGCCTTTGCAATAACAATATGCTCCCATGGTTCCTTTTCTTCCTCTAGGCAAAGATACCTACCTTTCCCTCTTTGAAGTGCTTCTTGAGCTGCTTCTGCATGGCAGTCAACTTCTTGGACTGTACCCCACTGTAGGCCAGCAGCATGCCACCAAACTGCCTCTCGGTGATTCTCCCATCCACAGGGTCATGGCGTTCAAACTGGGAAGGGAACAGAAAGAGTGTTCATGGGGTCAAATGGAAAGTACTTTGACATGGAATGTGGAATGATCAACTGTGTTGGATGGCAGAGAATAGGTGATGGCTGGGACCATATTTTGAACTATAATTCTCACCATGATTTAAAAAAATCAGTCAGAAACAAGATTTTTGTTCTTTTTTTTTTAAAATGTATCTATTTTATTTATTTATTTTTGGCTGTGTTGGGTCTGCATTGATGTGCGTGGGCATTCTCTAGTTGCAGCGAGTAGGGACTACTCTTCTGTTGAGGTACACAGGCTTCTCATTGCAGTGGCTTCTCTTGTTGCGGAGCATGGGCTCTAGGTGCGTGGGCTTCAGTAGTTGTGGCACGTGGGCTCAGTAGTTGTGGCTTGCAGGCTCTAGAGCACAGGCTCAGTAGCTGTGGTGCGTGGGCTTAGTTGCTCTGTGGCATGTGGGATCTTCCCAGACCAAGGCTTGAACCCTTGTCCCTTGCTTGGCAGGCGGATTCTTAACCACCGCGCCACCAGGGAAGTCCAAAGGATTTGTGTTCTTATTCCAGTTCTGCCACTAAGTTACCCAACTACTCTAAGCCTCAATTTCCTCACGGATAAAAAGAGCTGCTATAGGGACTTCCCTGGTGGCACAGTGGTTGGGAGTCCGCCTGCCGTTGCAGGGGACACAGGTTCGTGCCTCGGTCCGGGAAGATCCCACATGCCGCGGAGCGGCTGGGCCCATGAGCCATGGTCGCTGGGCCTGCGCGTCCGGGGCCTGTGCTCCGCAACGGGAGAGGCCACAACAGTGAGAGGGCTGCGTACCGCAAAAAAAAAAAAAAAAAAAAAAAAGAGCTGCTATAACATCTTATATACTTTCTAGATGAGGAGCTTCCTTCTGGGAATAAAAACAATGTTAAAACTCCATTCAAATTCATGAGTAATAGTATTAGTAATAAGTGCTCTCTGGATCATCCATGTCCCTGCTACTCAGAGAAAACTTAAAAGCTAATTATTACAAATTTGATCAAGTATACATATGTAAAAGTCATATCAGTTCCTTGATCTGTACTTAATATTGTTATACATTCAGACCTCTAAGCATTTCAAAGAAGAGTAGTGTCTTCAGATTTCCCCCAAAATGGTAATCAAATGCTAGAACAACAACAGACCTTGAAAAAAATGTATAGAGCGTAGGATGCCTCAATTAGACATGCATACTTATCATAAAGCTACTAAAAAATCATGAAGTGTATTTAAACATGCAGATGGAGAGGTTAAGTATAAAGGACCTCTAGCTAATCTAAGTAATATCAGAAAACTAAGATTTTCATTTACAAATGGAGAGAAGGGGCTTCCCTGGTGGCAGAGTGGTTAAGAATCCGCCTGCCAATGCAGGGGACACAGGTTCGAGCCCTGGTCAGGGAAGATCCCACATGCCGCAGAGCAACTAAGTCTGTGCGCCACAACTACTAAGCCTGCACTCTAGAGCCCGCGAGTCACAACTCCTGAAGCCCGGATGCCTAGAGCCTGTGCTCTGCAACAAGAGAAGCCACCGCAATGAGAAGCCCATGCACCGCAACGAAGGTAGCCCCAGCTCACCGCAACTAGAGGAAGCCTGTGCGCAGCAACAAAGACCCAACACAGCCAAAAATAAATAAATAAAATAAATTTAAAAATAAATAAAATAAAATAAAAATGGAGAGAAGAAAGTTATCTCAATGCCAGCTGCAATGTTAATGATACTTATAAATGCATAAATAATAAAATGGCTAAAGACAGGCCCAGAAACCAATTAGAAAGCAAAATGATTTCAAGACGGTAAAATTTCCCCATGGTTTTATTGGAAAATATCAGTTACCAGGAAACTTTCAGATTCCTATGTGGCAGGGTATAATCCTCTTCTCCTAAGAGGGTTATATATAGACATAAGACATGGCCAAGTAAGGTCATGTCAACAAACATTTCCTGAATGTCTACTAGTTATTTAGCAGTGTGTTAGTCGTTGTGGAGTATGGGAAAGGAGAAGATTCGGTTTCTGTCCTTAGGAACTTCACCATCTAGTAACAAGATAAGATTTACACATAAGACACAAAATAAGGAAATACGTAAAGAATGAAATTCTCTCTCAATTTTTTTTTTTTTTTGGCTGCACCACGCAGCATGCAGAATCTTAATTCCCCAACCAGGGATCAAACCCATGCCCCCTTTAGTGGAAGTGCAGAGTCCTAACCACTGGACCGGCAGGGAATTCCCCTCTCTGTTTTTATTTCCTCGGTTAGCTTGGTAAGTTGATACACACCTTAATTTGTCTCCTCACCGGTCAGACTTATGTCAGTGAGCAAGACACAGAATTACATTTTAACAACAGCAATCAATTACTGAAAATGTACTACAAGCCAGGTACTTCACCCATATATTCTTTCATTTAATCACTGTAACAACCTCGTGGAATAGGTATTATGAGCTCCATTTTACAGATGAGAAAACTGAGCGAACATGAAGTTAGAGCTCAGAGTCAAACGCAGCTCTATCTGGATCCAAAGACTGTATCTCAATATCATACTATTTCCTCCTTTTAAGCAGTAGTACATATTCATCCTATAGGATAGCATTATGTTATTTTGGATAAACTTATAAAGCAATGGGATTTAATCATATTTGAGTGAGAAGCAAAACTATTTCCAAAGAAATCAACATCATCAATATTAAGTGAAAGCCTCATTTGTAACTCAACCACTCAGTATTTCATGTTTGTCATACCATCACTTCCACAGAGCTGATTAATTTTTGACAGTACCAAAAGTTTTCAGGATTTAAGTTTGATTTATGATTCAGTTTACCATCCTGAAACAAAATGGAGGACTGATAAAATTTTTACAAATGGGAGTACTATCTGCAGTGTTTAAATCAGATTTGCAGTGAAATGTGATACCCCGTCCAAAGTTGGGCTTCTTCAAAGCAAGCGAAGCAAAGCTATGGTCCTAGGCTTCAACAATTTAGGGTGCTCACTTTACCTTTATCTGGGAGATTTCACAGCTGTGGAGAAATCCCATACATTTGAACTAGATGAGTTAAGCTGCATCCTACAAGATAGATTCAAGGTTGCAATGTCTCTTTTCATAGTGTTGGCAGCAGCAGCAGTGTGCTCAAGGTTTATGAAAGACTGCATTCATCTGCTCTCCACAGGTGCATAAAACCTCACCTCTGCTATGTTTCAAAGGCAGTAAAGAACTTCCAGTGGACATCCCCAAGTAACAATTCCAGTGCTTAAATCAGCATTTTTACTCATGTTCTTTGAAAACACAGACTTATCTTTTTCTATCATTATTATTATTAATATTTTGATGTGGTTGGAACCTGAAACGGCTTAAAAACTATAAAACTCAGCTCCATGCAGTATAGCCCACTTCAAAGTTTACTACCTCCTCTGTAATTTGATTTGGGGCAACAATGAAGACCTACTAGGCTAGGGAGCTTTAATAGTCGTTTCTCAAGGACCTGCATTAGGGCTAAATTTTCAAGGGCAATAGCTTGACATCATGTGGCACCATATGAATGTAATTCTCAAGGTCATGAGAGGGTCTTTGGGGAAAGACATAGGTTATTGCAAAATTATCACAGTGTAGAAAGTTCCTAATTGTATATCTGGAGGCAATTCGTATGATTGGCTTGTATTTTATTTACCAAATATTGCTTGAGCATCTTAAGTTCCACTTCAATGACAATTAAGAAATTCCATTCTATTTGATCCTGTGGCACAGAATGTGTGTGTTCCAGGACACCACCCACAATTTTCATTGCTCCTTCAGACTATACTACAAAGCTACAGTAATCCAAACAGCATACTGGCATGAAAACAGACATAAAGATGAATGGAACAAAATAGAGAACCCAGAAATAAACCCACACACCTGTGGTTAACTAATCTATGACAAAGGGGGCGGGAACATACAATAGAGAAAAGACCATCTCTTCAATAAGTGGTGCTGGGAAAACTAGACACATGGAGAACAAAGAGACTAGAACATTCCCTCATACCATACATAAAAATAAACTCAAGATGGTTTAAAGACCTAAACATAAGACCTGAAACCATAAAACTCCCAGAAAAAAACACAGTTTAACATAAATTGTAACAATATTTTCTGGGATCAGTCTCCTAAGGCCAAAGGGGGAAAAAACCCACAAAAACCAAAAACCAACGGACCTAATTAAACTTAAAGTATTTGTAAATGATGAGACCAACACGGGATTAATATCCAAAATGTACAAACAGTCCATACAAGTCAATATCAAAAAAACCCAAACAACCCAATCAGAAAATGGGCAGAATACCTGAAAAGACATTTTTCCAAAGAAGACATACAGATGGCTAACAGGCACATGAAAAGATGCTCAACACCGCTAATTATAAGAGAAATGCACAAATTGAAACCACAATGAGGTATCACTTCCCACTTGTCGGATTGGCTATCATCAAAACATTTACAAATAAGTGGTGGAGAAGGTATGGAGAAAAGGGAACCCTTCTCCTTTACTGTTGGTGCAAATGTAAATTGGTGCAGCCACTATGGAAACAGCATGGACGTTCCTTAAAAAACTAAAAATAGAAGTACCATATAACCCATCAATTCCACTCCTGGATATATATCTTGAAAAAATGAAAATGCTAATTCAAAAGATACATGCAACCCAATGTTCATACCAGCACTATTTACAATAACCAAGACATGGAAGCAACTCATGTGCCCATCAATAGATGACTGGATTAAGAAGATGTAGTACATATATGCAATGGAATACTACTCAGCCATAAAAATAAGAATGAAATATAGTCATTTGCAGCAATGTGGGTAGACCTAGAGAACATTATATTTAGTGAAATAAGTCAGAGAAAGACAAATACTGTATGATATCACTTACATGTGGAATCTAAAAATGATACAAATGAATATATATACAGAACAGACTCAAAGATATAGAAAACAAACTTATGGTTACCAAAGG